TATTAATCTTTACCAGGTGCACCGGATACAATATCAGCTGGTACAACTTGTGAGGAAGTTTCAGGCGTTGCTGTAACCGAGCTTTCTTTTGAATCTCGAGTAGCAACTGCCGTCTTTCCGGAAACAAACCTTTTCAAAACGGGTGTCACGGATCTTAAAGTATTTTGCGAACGTTTTACGAAAAGTGATGCCATATTTTTATTATTTCATTTATGCCAATTTAAAAAAAACCTAATTTATACGTACACATTTTCACGTGATATATGTCTAAACATAATACAACCAATCAAACTCGGCTAATTATAATATTCTTTTCTAAACTTACAAGATGCCGCGTTTTTCCCATTATGAAACTGCCTTAGGCTCACAATTGTTTGAAAAGATCAAAAACTGTCGTGTTTTAATGGTCGGCGCTGGTGGAATAGGATGTGAGCTCTTAAAGAATTTGGTCATGTCTGGCTTTAATCAAATTGAACTGGTAAATTTCTCCTAATTTGAAAAAAAAAAACTTTTCAGTTTATTAAAACGTAGTGAGTCTACCCTTTTTTAAAAAAAATTCAGGTTGATCTGGACACGATTGATCTTTCCAATTTAAATAGGCAGTTTTTATTTCAAAAGCAACATATCAAGAAATCAAAGGCACAGGTATGTACACGTCTCGCGTGTCGGGTTAGGTAAAAAAAAAAAAAAATCATATTCTTCTGTTTTATATTTGAATGTATGTTTTTTTTTATACCATTTGAAAGGTTGCTCGTGAATCAGCTCTGAAATTCAATCCAAACGCTAACATAGTCGCGCATCACGCTAATATCAAAGACCCTCAATTCAGTATCGAGTGGTTCAAAAGATTTGATATTGTCATGAACGCTTTAGATAATCTTGGTAATATTAAACATCTAATATTTGTCATTCGCGCATCATGTTACAAAGTAACCTAGGAATAAAATGAAATTTGATATCACGTCACATAGACGCAAGGCGTCACGTCAACACTATGTGTTTAGTCGCGAACATTCCACTAATCGAATCAGGTTCAGAAGGATATCTTGGTCAAGTGACAATTATAAAAAAAGTAGGTTACGAGAATTAAACTTAATTAATGTATACATATCTTTGAAATGATAATAATATTTTGATAAATTAGGGAGAATCTGAATGTTATGAATGTCAACCTAAACCAACCAGAAAAACTTATCCAGTTTGTACAATTCGTAGCACTCCGAGCAGTCCAATCCATTGTATTGTTTGGGCAAAGAGTTATCTTTTCAGGTAAATACAAAAATGGTTCATTATTTATATTTCATTAAGTATTTCATTAAGTATTTCATTATTTATACTATCATATTTTAGTCAATTATTCGGAATACCTGAAGAGGAAGATGAAGAACTAGATAAAGAACTTAATGACGAGAATGGTACGAATCTTGTAAAAGAGTATTTGTGATATGTGCTCATATAAAATAATAACACTTAATGATTTACTTAGCTGATGAAATTGCAAATCTCAAGGCGGAAACGCTTGCTCTTAAACGTATAAGAGAAGCGATAGGATCACAAGATTACCCTAAAATAGTTTTTCAAAAGGTTTTTACCGACGACATTAATCGTCTACTAATAATGGAAGATATGTGGAAAACCAGAAAGAGGCCAGTTCCTCTTGTTTATGAAGAAATGGAAAAACTTAAAGATACAAAATTACAAACGGACCAAACTACTGATTCTAATACCTTAAGAGATCAAATATTATGGAATTTAACAGAAAACTTTTCTGTGTTTTTGGACAGGTTCTAAATTTCTGTTAGCGGTATTAGTTCAATAGATAGTTCATATCTAATTATCTAATTGATTTTTGATAAACTATAGTATTAAAAGACTAAGCAAACGATTACTTGCCGAAAAGTCGACTAATCCAGATGCATCATTGACATTTGATAAAGACGACGTCGATGCCATAGACTTTGTAACAGCAACGTCTAATTTACGCGCAAGAATATTTGGTATTAAAGAAAAAACGCAATTTCAAGTAAAAGGTGTTCAATTATTTAAATATATATATTGTAAATTTTTGAAGGTTTCAAATCAAACAATGTTAACAATATTACTTATAATTTTTGTCGAATTAAGCAATGGCCGGTAATATTATTCCAGCTATTGCGACAACTAATGCAATTGTTGCTGGAATGATTGTGATGCAGGCGTTCAAAGTTTTAAATGGTGATTTCAATGAATGCAAGACAGTATGTGCATATTCTTTTATTACATGTTACATTTTTGATTGTGTTTTTCATAAATAGTTTTTTTTTTATAATTAGGTGTATTGTGCTCCGGATAGACGACCAAAATCAATTCTTTCAGAATCTTTAAATAAACCTAATCCTGATTGTTCAGTTTGTCAATCTGCACATGTTACCTTGAACGTTAATGTTAAGAAAGCAACCTTACGAGGTTTTCTCAAAGAGGTCGTTCAAGGACCTGACGAAGGTGAGGAGGACATTTGTGAAGTTTCTGTGGAGGAAGGTGGAAGGTTTGTCAATTTAAAATTTTGGCATTCTTCCTATATGTGTATTTACAATTTAAAACATTAATATGTATATCTTTATTTTATATATTAGAATTATATATGATGTCGAATATGATGACAATCTTGACGTGACATTCGAAAAATTAAACATAACTGATGGAAAAATGGTTAAAGTAACTCCTGAAAGTGAAGATGAAGAAAAATATCCTACCGTTTTTGCCATTTCTCATAGGTAAGTTAAGATAATTAACATTATAAAAGAATAACCTAGTTGTTAATAACTAACTAAATTGGGTAAATCATTATAGAGAAACGTTCGAATCTCCAAATACTTGGTTTCATGTTGATGGTGATACAGTGCCTAGATCTCACACGCACGCTAATTCAAATGCTCATAAAAGAAAGCTTGACGACTCTGAAATTGATCCTCAAGAAGAGTCTTCTCGTAAAAGACCTGCTGTTATTGAAAATGAGGTTATCGTTCAAGACGATGATCTTATAATGACTGAAGATGGTCCTCAAAGGCTCATTGTCATTGATTAGATTTATACTATGATTTTATGTAAAATAAAATCGATCTGATTGCTACGATAACAAGCTTGTCAAATAATTTGCGTACAATTTATAAATAATTTGATGAATCACGTTAAAGTGGGCAATAATGTATTCTGTATTTTATTATTACCTTGATTTTTAATTTTTCCATCAAATTAACATCCAGGTTGGTGCTCCATAATGGCTGGAATTAAGATCCGGGTCAGAATTATTTTTGTTGATAATAACGATAATGTTATTATCGCTATTTTATCATGCAAAATAAATAAGGAATGTTCTTGGTAAAAATATAAAACGCATTGAAGCAGGTATGGGTTAATTTAATTAATTGCTTACAGCTTTAATCGTGGCAACTCAAATTTCTCATAATCAATTTAGTATTATATCTAAGCTTCTTGCTTTAATGCTACCTATTCTATTCGATTCTCGTTAAACACTTTTATCATTGTTAATAGACAATCCAAATTTCTTAAATAGAAACAGTTCGAAATATAACAAAAATTAGAGTTCAGCTTTCTTAGTATAAAAAAAGATTATGAATGTGCTAACGAAAAAGCAAACAAAATTGGGTTATGTAATACATTAGAATTGAAATTCGTTCTTGGTTCATTATTTATTTTACTTTATCGATTGTTTGTTTAGTGCAAATGATTTAGTAGATACGAAAATACATCTATGGTGAATTTTACCATAGTGATAGATGTAATTACAGTCAAACCTCTCCTATAGTCACACGTACAAAAAAGAAGTAAGCTAACTATACAGTAGAGGTCAAACTTATTATATTTATATAATAATTTTTAAAAAATATTACTTATAAAGAAAATGTGCTTATATAGAAGGTGACTATATAGAGGTTTAACTGTACTGTTATTATACAGTATATATATATATATAATTATTTATCATAAAAACTAAGTTTGCTTTTTAATATTTTTTAAAAATAAAAATTCTCAATTTTCTAGTAGTTTAACAAAATAATATTGAAATTTGATTTTTTGTTAATAGGAACTAGATGTTAGACCTGTCATTAAGTGACGGGCTATATTAAACATCTTTATTACAATATATACCGGTAATCTATTGTGATGGGAAATTTTTGTATTTCTTCATACCCTGCAAGATGAAATTTCTTTTGCATAATACACGAGATGTAAAAAGTAACGAATGAAGATGGCAGTCATGTGAATCATCAGAAAACCAAATAATCAAGAAAAGCTTATTATAGAGATCTATATAAAATTGGAATATAATAACATGTATATTAATACTTTGTAAATTTGGCGTATTTGATAACAAGTAACTTGAAGCACTTTATGGTTAGTGTTAGGATGAGGAAGTTCATATTATCTAACAGCTCTTTAGGATTAAGGAGGTTTTGTATTACTGTATATATTAAGAATTTTTTTTCTAAAAAACCCCATCACTAATCTATTGGGTTTTTTTAAAAAAATTGTTTTTGTCTCTATTATTGTATTCATAATATATATGATGCATGTTAGACTTCTTTCGAACATGATACAGAACAAATACTGTATAAAAGAACTGCGCCACAGACAAACGCGTTGAAGATGTCAGGGTGAAACCGCTTTGATCATGCATAGTGAACGCGGATTTCATCCTCATGTGTCTGCATAGCGGATTTAACCAAAATTTAGCACGGGTTTCACCCTGTCGAAAACTTTCAATACAGTATATCAATTTTGATATTATTTTAAAAAACTATCAGTTCTAATGTACTACTAGGGGCAATATTACAAAATCGAAATATGATTGGGATCTTGAAATTTTTATTTTTAGAGGTTAATTAGATTTATTCATGAAAAAAAAGCATTAAAATTTCATTTTTCGTGGTAAACCATAACTTACTGTATATGCAAATATTAAAAATTTTTATTTATATCTAAGAGAATTTTCTCTTTAGAAAAATTATCCCGAGATTTACTATAATTGGTTACTGGCTTTCTCGAATACGTATCTGGTACGTACATAAAACGATGACAAAAAAGTTTTTTAACCAGTGAAATGACGTGTGGCGTTGTGGCAAACACCGATACATCATGAGAAACAGCCAATAACGTATCTTTATTATACCCACAATACGTAATGTAGGTCCACATTTCATTGACCATTTACCGTTACCGTTACGCCTTAAAGATTTACGTAATAAAAACGTCATTTTGTCACATAACACATTTTATATATAGCAGGGTTTCTTATATTTTATTGTCCAGAGCGAAATAGAACCTGTTATTGTTGCTCCGTGTAATTTTTATTTAATTATTATATATATATATATATACCTATATATTGTATCATTACTGGTATATATGTCAGCTCCGAATGCACAATGCTGTACATTACCTAGTAATTACACATTCTATAATAATCGCCTTTGCATTGTATATAATTTAATTAATTTTCCGAAAGTCAATTTCCACAGTATAGGTAACACTATTTTAGGTAACACCATTTAATGACACCATTGATATTACTGTATTATTTATATATATTAGTCAGTCGTAGTGTCACCTACACTGAAGAGATTTTTAGGTATCAGTATATAGGAAAATTGACTTTCGGGAAATTATCAGATACATACGTACCAGATACAGACACAGACATACGTACGTACGTAAATTTACTACGGTAGAACCAGAGCTAGTGGATTAGCAAAATAGCTAGCAACATTGTTTGTGCTAAGATGCGAAATTTGCTACTTTCGTACTATGCATGTGATTATTACCTTTGTTCTTATATATATATATAATTATATGCAAAATTTTGCTAGCTAATTTTGCTTCTAACGACCACTGACTCTGGGTAGAACAATAACTGATAAATTTTTATTCATAACCATTAGTATAATATGTTCTCATAACGATGATGTTCAAAGGATTTCCAAAAACAGTATATATATATATACAAATACTGTAAAATAAAATACAGTACAAGAAACTATAAACTTACTTTAGAATACTAGTGAAAATAAATTTTATTACTATATTAGTAACCCACCTTAACCCTATACGTATCAGATATCTTTTTGGCTATATTAAAATTTGTATTTATGTTTGGCCACGCTATACGTATTCGGAATTTACCGTAAACAAAAGATCTTTCGATCAAGACATTTCTATGCATTAAATGAATTTAATATTTAAAGGTTACGATACCAATTTATGTAAAGTGAGCTTTGGAGTTTAAAAGCTTTAAGCTCAATATTCTACTTCTGATATCTACTTCTGAGAGGTAACTAATTTCTTTTTGTACTCGAACTTAAGTTTCTAGTATTATCAAAATTTTTGTTTTCGGCGTATTCGTTTTGGAAAACCTTTTAAAATGCGCTCAGTACCATAATGACAAATCATATTTTATAGTCTTTCGCGTCTAATATAATAAGGAACCTATGTAAAAAAAACAGTTTAGATAATTATTTCTTATTTGGCGTTTACACGTGCAGTTAAGAGCAATATCTGCTTTACGAAATGCCACCTCGCGAGTCGCTAGAAACTGAACCTCTCATTGATGAAGAAACACGCAATAATGGGCCATTTGCGTTTAATGTTGAGCAATTACAGAATTTGATCGATCCCAAAAATTTAGATTTGCTTCAGACTTACGGTGGTCCCGAAAAAATTCTTGATGGTTTGAGGGTCAATCGTGATGATGGTCTAGACCCCGATGAAGGTATAGATCCCACATCTTCGAAACTGCAAATTCCTTTTCAAGAAAGACGAAAACATTTTGGAAAAAATGTAAGCTTTTGTCAATTGAACGTACCACCATCCATTATTGTCATCAGTGTGCATCAACTAATATTTTAAATCTTAGATTTTGCCAAAAGTTGACCAACAATCATTTTTCTATTTGGTTTGGGACGCTTATTGTGATAGAACCTTAAGTAATCTTTAAAGATTTTTTTTTTTTTTTTTTCAATGTTTACATCTATCCATTACTCTTACAAAGGTTACAATTTATCTTTATAATTAGTTTTATTAAGTGTTGCTGCTCTCATTTCTCTCGCTCTTGGTATTGGTGATGATTTATCATCAGATGATTCTGATGGTCTTGGTTGGATTGAAGGTAAACAATGTTATTTTTTTGTTTAGATATAATATAATATTTATATATATATAGGTTTCGAATTTGGTCTACTTTTTTAGGCACTGCAATCCTTGTTGCTGTTGTCGTTGTAGTTCTTACGAACGCGATAAACAATTATCAAAAGGAAAAGCAGTTTAGAAAACTTAACGATAAAAAGGAGGATCGTAACGTCAAGGTGATTTCATTGAATTAAAGTGCTTACTTTTAATACTAAATAATAATTTACATTGTTAATTCTTATTAATTCTTATTAATTCTTAGCTTATTCGAAAGGGTAAAGAGCACCAAATTTCAGTTTATGAAATTAATGCTGGCGACATAATGGTAAAGTTAAATGCGATTCATGACTATTTTAATTTATACTTTCAAGGGATATTGTATTTTATTTTAATTCTATTACATAGCTTCTTGAACCTGGTGACATAGTTGCTGTTGATGGTATATATTTGGAAGGTCACAATCTCACTTGTGATGAATCTAGTGCTACTGGTGAATCTGATGCCATAAAAAAAGGCGATAATGATCCTTTCATATTGAGTGGATCAAAGGTTACAGAAGGTGTTGGTAAAGTAGTTGTTATTGCTGTTGGTAAGTAAGATTTTAGTGATTTTAGTTTAATACGGTTACATTTTTTATGTCATATGTCTGATGTTATAATTTACTTCTCAAATAGGCGTACATTCTTACTTTGGGAAAACTATGATGGTAAACATAGACTTTTTCCTTGCTTATAATCATCTTAATAAGTCTTTTATTCATAGACATCATAATGTTTTTATTAATACATATGTATTAGGCATTACGTCATCATGGAAATGATGAAACACCACTTCAAATGAAGTTGGATTTTGTTGCCGAACAAATAGCGAAATTAGGCGTTTCTATTGCATTAATTATGTTGATGTGAGTATAATAAGTTACTTTTTTATTTAAATTATCTCATCAAATAATAAATTATATTATTATTAATCCTTTGATAATACATTTATTATTAGTACACTAACTATTAAATATTTTATTAATGCGGCTCTTTCTGACGATTTTCCTGACTTGGAAGAGATAGCGGTCGCTATGGTTTCTATTGTTATCCAAACAATTACTATTATTGTTGTTGCTGTGCCCGAGGGTGTATGTACAAATTTTTTTTATTATGTATCCTTATTTTAACTAACATTTTTTAAAAAAATTTATATTAAATATTGCATATATTATTAATTTTGTCTTAGTTGCCCATGGCTGTGACACTCGCGCTTGCTTACGCAACCACCAAGATGTTGAAAGATAATAACTTGGTCCGGGTTTTATCCGCCTGGTATATACCACATGTATACAATTTTTTTTCAAGATATAACGGTACCAATAAATATATATTTATAAAATTTTCAGTGAAACTATGGGAAATGCGACTGCAGTATGTTCGGATAAGACCGGTACATTAACTCAAAACAAAATGACTGTGGTGGCAGGGCTTCTCGGTCAGGAAACATTCGAGGATTTCAATGATATTCCACAATGGAAAGAAAAGATTTCTCAGATTACATATGATATTATTACACAGGGTATAGTTGTTAATTCTACAGCATTCGAAGACAAAGATGAAAAAGGCCAATTGAATTTTGTTGGGTACGTATAAAAAAAATTAAATTATTTAATTAAATATAAAAATAAAATAAATTAATAAATTAAGTTTTCTTTGTTTAATCTACTAGTTCTAAAACTGAATGTGCTTTGCTTGCATTCTGCAAAGATTTCGGAGTAGACTACAGAGAGTTAAAATCTCAAGCTAAGCAAGTAAAAGTCTACCCTTTTGCATCAAGTAGAAAAAGCATGACTATAATTATTAGATTGCCCTCAGCTGGTACTTCTCATAGCAAAGCTTCTGATAATGTATTTCGTATTTATGTTAAAGGCGCATCTGAGATTGTTTTTGGAGGTTGTACACAATATATCAATGCTGATGGCAAAGTGCATAAATTGGATGATAAAACTAAACCTCAATTTGAAAACACTATTACTGAATATGCAAAAAAGGCTTTACGTACAATTTGTTTGGCATATCGTGACATAACTGCTAGTGAACTTAATCATATTGATGATGAAAATCCACCTTTAAGAGATCTTATTTGTTTAGGTATAGTTGGTATTCAGGATCCTTTACGTCCTGGTGTTATAGAATCTGTTGAAACTTTTAGAAAGGCTGGTGTCACTGTTAGGATGATTACTGGTGATAACTTATTAACCGCAAAGGCAATCGCAGAGAACGCTGGCATTTATACTAAAGGAATTGCTATAACCGGACCTGAATTTCGTGCTAAATCAAAAGAAGAACAACTCAGAATATTACCTCGATTACAAGTACTTGCACGTTCTTCACCGACGGATAAGACTATCGTAGTTTCTCTTCTTAAAGAAACTGGTGAAATTGTTGCTGTTACTGGCGATGGTACTAATGATGGTCCAGCTTTAAAATTGGCAGATATTGGTTTCAGTATGGGAATTGCCGGTACTGAGGTTGCAAAGGAAGCATCTTCCATTATTTTAATGGATGATAACTTCAATTCCATTGTCAAAGCGTTGAGATGGGGTCGTGCTGTTAATGATAGTGTACGCAAATTTTTACAATTTCAGCTCACTGTTAATATTGCTGCAGTTGTGATATCTTTTATTAGTGCTGTTACAAGTGATGATAACGAATCCATCTTAACAGCAGTACAGTTGCTTTGGATTAATCTCATTATGGATACGTTGGCTGCGCTTGCTTTGGCGACCGAGCCTCCAACGGATGAACTTTTATCTCGTTTACCTACTTTAAAAAATGCATCATTAATTAATTATCGTATGTGGAAAATGATTCTTGGGCAAGCGATCTTCCAAATAACAGTTAACTTGACCTTATTACATATGGGACCAGCGATTTTTCATCTTCACATGGATAAACCTCATGACAAAGCCGTATTTCGTACCTTGGTTTTCAATACTTTTGTCTTTCTCCAGATATTCAATGAGATCAATTGTCGTCGTATTGATGATAATTTGAATGTTTTTTATGATTTCTTTCACAATTATATATTCATAATTATTCAAGTCATTGTTATAATTGGACAAATTTTTATCATTCAATACGGAGGTATTGCCTTTGGAACAACAGAACTCACCTGGTATCAATGGCTTGTGACTATTTTAATTGGGTCACTTTCTATACCCGTTGGTGTGATTATTAGGCTTATTCCTAATACCTGTATACCTGATAGTATTCTTAACGAGCATTACAAACCAAAAGTCACTAAAGAGAAGATGTTATGGGAACATGCAGGTCACGATATAATGTCTGAAATTAAGGTAGCCAATGCACTAAAAATATTCGCTGCAGTGAGGAAACCAAAACAAAAACGACCTAGTAGCCACGTGAAGAGTAATTGATCAAATTTAGTTATAATTATCTTGGTTTGGAAATGATATTTTACATTTTTACTCGCAAATTTATAGTTCCATAATATAGTTGGATTTCAGTACACATCTATATGTTTATTTCCACTTTATTATACAATTTAAAATGAATTATAATAAAAGTTTGAATATGTGCATTTAATTACTGTTTTTCAATATTATATATGTAGTGAAGTGAATTAGTTCCATCAATAGAAATTTTTAAAAATTCACTATATCGAGTTTGCTAATTTACATTTTTAATATTTAATTGATGGTTAAACTAGAATTTTGAATTTGAAGTGCTTTTTAAATAAGCAAATTTATATTATTTATATCAAATCGCTCCTTTGAACAATCCATATTATTTTTACATATGCATTGAAAACTTTACACAAGTGAATACTGTATTTATATTCATGTAATACAGGTGCAGTTTCTTTCTTTGTCATTCGTACGTAAGAATATCAAATATACGTACTGTAGAAAGTGGTTAATGTTTCCAAATAAGAAATCTGTTGTCAATAACGGTACGATTGAATGACTGAGCACGTGACTATAACGTCTAGGAACCCTGAATTTTGATATTTCAGTATTTGGAAATGATATTAGACGCATGAAACAGTCCTGAAACATTAAAAATTTAGTATATTAAGTGATAATGATGCTTTTAAAGACAGTATTGAGTTAAATGCCCTTTTTCGAGACTATGACTAAAAAATAAGTACTGTACGTATTCTACGTACTGATTATCATCAGTATACGTATTTTTAGATAAAGACTGTAGAGGCATGTCAAGCATTAATTGAGATCAATTTACTATAAAGTTTTTTCTTCCCTCTTCCCGAGATAATAAGTTCATTTTGATTGGTTATATATATATATATACATTGACCCGAGATTTACCTTACGAAATCTGACACGTTCCCTAACCTTTTTTATTTTCCAAAAAAGTATCTCAAAAATACTTTATTACAATAGTTTTAGAATTCAATCATTAAGCCACTTTACTTGACCAGCATTTTTCAGGAAATGGTATGCTGAACAACCTTGATAAATACAGGTGCAATTTAACTTTTTTTCTCATGAAAAATTTTTTTTTTTTTTTTTTGTGAATAGCTGTATGGCATGTGACACTAAATAAATTATAAAATCAGGGGTAAAGTTTAAATTTACAATATGTGTTACGTCACACAATATCCAAACTTCTAATTTCAGTAGCAATAAATTTGATTTCCCGTGCTGGTCATAATGATCTACAACTCTTCCCGCTAATTTCGATCACGAGTTTAAACAAAACAGAATTAAAGATCTCTTCATTTTAAATATGTCTCAAACTAAATCTAGATCACCTACACTTAAAGATGCTTTTAAATATGTTAGTTATATTAAACAATTGTATCAAAGCCAACCTTCAAAGTATAGGCTTTTTATTTCTTCTTTAAAGTCTTTTGACCAAGCAGAAATTGATCACATAACCTTGATCAGACGAATGGAAACAGTTTTTCAAGAAAATTCGGAATTAATGGATGAATTTATCCAATATTGTCCACAGGAATGGAATTCTATGAGAAATAATTTGGTCATAGGAAATAATAATTATGGTAATAATATTACAACATCAACTATAAGAAGGAATGTAAACTCATCCGCTAAAAAAAATGGAATAAATGATGTTTACGATGATAGTAATAATAATATAATAAAAATAATGGTGAAAAAACCTCGTGTGGCACAAGAATTTGATGATAACTCTTTAGCGGTCCCTAATACAATGACTACAGTACCTTCTAAACCTGCACAATATAAATTAAAGGGTAAACCGTCAAAAAAAAGTGTATCAAGTACCGTAACAAAAGATTTTTTGATTTCAAAGGTAAGTAATTTTGTTTAAACGCATATTCACCTTATTTAATTTTGTTTCTTAAAATCTGTTAGCATTTAATTGAGCTTTTTAGAGTGAACTAAGAACTTACATAAAAATTGGCGATTATAATCTTGTGGTAAACACCAGAGAAATGAAGCCTTTACAAAAATCCAAGAATCCAATGATTCTTTGGATTCAGATCAATCGATCAATGTGTCATCTATCAGCACCTTTTCATCACGGCAGTCATCATTTTCGTGCACCCTAAATGAAGATTCTTCAGTTGAAATGGATAAAATCCCAGAAGCACTAAAAGATTTTCAACCTACATCCGACGTGTCAAACTCAACAACACCTTTACGAAGAAGTACAAGAATTCGTAAACCTTCGTTCAAGAAAATGGATAGTATTTACTAATCACCTTTTTATTCTGGTTTTATACTGTATATTGAGAGGTGGATTACTTTAAAATATTTGTGATAACGTGACTTATTATTATTATTATACGTGAAAAAAAAAGACTCAAAAAAATAAGATATTTTGATGATTAAGGTTTTGTTTGTGTGAAAATCAACCTTTTGATCTTGAAAAATCTCATTTAAATGCCTTTTTAATATATAATGGACACCTTTTTTTAAATATTTACTTATCATAAGGTATGATATTGATTGATGATTAAGAAGCCTTTATATACTGTATCACATTGATACTGATCATAATAAAGCAAGGTACATGGTATTTATATAAAATTGGTGATATATATAATGAAATAATAGATTATTGAATTATAGATTAATTGTGTTATAATTTCTTATTAATTTTGTTGAGTTTTATATGATTTAGAGCTATTTCGATATAAATTATTTTTCTGAACGATAATTTTATTGATTATAGAATTTCCATAGTATTTATGAACAATTTTCGCAAAATTAAAATAATGATGTATGTTAATAACTTGTCAAAAAAAAAATCAAAGCAATAATTAAAGTTAGAATTTAAATAGTGTTAAGTTTATATTAAAATTTTGCAAAGAAGTATTTTTGATAAAACTTTAAAAAATTATTTTATAACTAGCATAGCGACAATTTTTAAAAAATAATTAAATTTTATATATATCTTCAATTTACAAATTTGCATCATGAATTATTTTAATCTAAAACAAAATTATTTTTTTAAACCTTAATTATAAAATTTCACACTAGTGAAGTGAATGAAACACGGGTATAATTTGTAATATATAGTTTAAATAAAAAGTTAAATTAGATTAAAATAGATAAACTATTAAAAAATACAAATTTTAGATACATATATTTTAGGATTAGGAGATAGCTTTAGAGTACTGGAGTAGATAATAAACAAGTATAAGTAGGTTTTAAGAGATTAAATAGAAACCTCGAATTTTATTTTAATCCGCACGTTTAATACTAAATATATATATAATAATTTAATATTAATAGTCACTGTATATTGTATATTTAATTATTAATTTTAAATTGATTATTTGTAAATTAAAAAAATATTAAGTAATACAATTAGATCTTTCTAAATATAAGCTTTATAAAATTTTTCATAGACTTTATGATATTGTATTTATTGTAAAGAGACTTGACTATAAATACTATATTTTTAAATTTTGCATATATTATAAATAATAATAATAATTAAATTTATTATTAATTGAAATTTATTAATTTACACCAGTGTATGAAACACGAGTATAATTTATAAAAAAATATTTAATACAAAATTTTTAGAGAAAAAATTAAAGTTAAGATAGGTTAGGGGTTAGAGGTAATTTATATAATTTATACTAAAATTTATGTAGATTTTGTTTTTTGTTAGAACTCGAGGAGTGATTTCATAAGCAAAATTTTGAGATATTTAATGTACTTGTATTTCATACGCTAGTGTAATATTGTATAAAAATATATTATATATAATACAAAAGCAATGTAAAGTTGATAATTGATTTTAGTCAACCAAAATTTTTATTAATTAGCTAATAATTTATGTTAAATTATTATTCTTTGGTTCTAATCAATTTGGAGGGTACTCACTCTCGTTAGTATTTTCGCGTAATAACGCCCATAGACGTTTGAAAATTGTATCACCCGAGAATATCATGCAATACAAAAGTCTAACGCATATGAGCGTACTCGAAATAACGTATACAGCATATACTCAAGATAACGGTATTAGAAATGTTTGTTCCAGAGCTCACTTATAGTAATTCATGAATTATAATCATATATAAAGTATGTAAATAGAACAAAACTCTGATGCTTGGCTTTTTATTAGTAAGTATAATTCTTTTAAAAGATCGTGACATTAGTTGGATAATATATTATATAATATTTACTATACCTTGCTAAGATTATTAATGGTAAACATAAAAATAATAATTTGATAAGCACCTTCAAGAACATATCAGCAAAATAAATAGCATTCTATTTTTAATATCTAATCTAAATATCTAAATTAACATGTACAGTAAATAAAACAAAGTACGTAGCGGTAGCATTTTAAAGTATATATTTTTAGAAGCACATTCCAGAATGGATTATTCATTACCAATCTAATTTTCCAATTTCATCATTTATGAAACTTCCTTTCATTGATCCACGATACAATTCTTTAATAACTTTTCCTTCAATTACAGTTTTTTCTACTATCATTTTAACATGACATGGAGTTACACGACCGTAAAAGAATCCTTGATTATTACGGTATACGATTACGTTCCCGGCAAAATGATGGCCTTTATTAAAAAAAAAAATAATACAGTTTTAATCACTTATAACCAAGTTTTTTTAAACAAAAAGGATAAACATATCGATATATATATATATATATACCTCCAACATGACTTGATAAGTAAACAGCTACGCCATTATTTCCATTTGACCTTAAATCCAATTTCAATTCTTTCAAAACTTTATCAAATTCATTCTTCAACAATGGACCAGCTACACCACATCTAATGTCTCTTCGTTTATGTCCACATATCAAAATTACAGCTTTATATGGAATTTCTTCTTTCTCAAATTTCACAACATTATAATTTTCATTTTTAATGTCTATAGATTTATATTGCTGATTTAAAAGAAAATGATTATAAAACTCTTTTGCATGTTTTACTGTTACATTACGTATCAATAAATTATCAGGGAATATAAGTACATCATTCCCCCAATTAAAAAAAGAAAATTGAGTATTTGAACGACTACAATTTGTAATCATTGTCCTATCTTTTTTAAATTTATTTTCTTTTTTTAATTTTTTAGAATCATTTTCTTTTGTTAATGAATCATTATTATTCATTACTTCAGATTGACATTTAAATAATTCTGAAGCAAGGCTACCTTGATTTAATTCAATTATTTTTTCCCAATCAGATTTACCTGTTGAAATTATTACATGCCTTACGTAAGGTTGAATTGTATCTTTTAATGGAGATGTATGATCAAGTTTTAAATTTGATGGATATGATGGATGAGTTGAACATGGATTTTGACAAACAAGACATGGATTTTTGGTTGATATATCAGATATTGAAATAGTTTCATTTGATAATGATTTATTTGCATTTTTTAAAATTGAAAATGAAGTATTTGCAGTTGATATTTGTCGAGAATTATGATGGTAATTACGTTGATTAAAGGAGGATGATGAAAAAGATGTAAAAGTTGATTTAAGTATGTTACAAAACTGTTCCATTTTCTTAATGTTTAATTGTAAAGATTGTGAAGGAAAGAAGTTTTTTCGAAGCATTGAAACTAAAAGAGAAATATATACATAAGCATTACATTTTTATATTTGTATATTGGTGTATTATGTTGTAAGCCAGCACAGCAGATCAACGCATGTGATTGTCTAGATTGTCTACAATGAAAAAAATTTTTAACTTTTTATACGTACCAGGTAAACACTATGTGCCCAAAGCTAAGTGCTGAAGTTATTACAAATATATATATATATATATATATATAGTAATAAAATTAAAAATAACGATAATATAAAAATAAATTTTGGAATGATAATGATTACTTTGTATTTATTACGATTTATATGGTGAAATCATTTGATTATTATACGTACGTAATATTTTATTACTTAATCATTTCATGTTCTTAAAATTGTGTGAAATTGACCGTATAAATGATAATTAGAATCTTTTAAAATTCAAATTTTTTTATGACTTAATTTGAATTGAGCTAAGTCAATTCAATATTGACTTAAAATTATAAATTAAAATTACAGGTATAAGTTAAAAGTATTTGGTTTGTATATATATCGATATCGATACTATAGCTTACAATCAAGCTTGTAGAGTTATGTCAGGTTGTGACAAGAAAAAAAGTATACGTATCAATTTTCTTAAATTTATTTTGGAAGTCGATCCATGTCCGATCCCCGCCACACTCTATTGTCATGCCAATAAAATTAAGATCAACGTATAATAAATGCATTTAATATTGACGTATATATCTCAAAATATCATATGAAATCGCCATTTATACGTATATATGCTCCTGTCCCTCATGGATTTTATACGCATCTTTAACAAAAATTACGTGCAGGATAAATGATATCCGTCTTGGCAATAATATCCGACATGATCGCATGAGATGTGGAGGGATCTTACTTGGGCGTGGAAGCATTATTCCCTTTTATTTTTCATTGCGTCAAATGTGAATATTTTTATTGACGACTTAAGCTGCTTTAAAATTTCAAACTACATTTGAGATTCCGTTCTAAGTGGTTTCTAAATTTACAACAAATATAAAGAATCAAAAGAAATCAAAGGCTTGGAAACTACATTGAAGATAAATTATTAATGTCGTAAGTAGGTATGGAATAAGTTGATTTCTAAGTTTCAAAAAAAGAAAAGTTCATATGTTAACATACTTTTATGTAACTAAGTAATTACGAAATAATAACATGAATATATTTCTTTTAATAGCTATATTTAAGCCAATTTGTATTTTAATTTTCAATTGACTTAAGAATAATATAAATACCATTTTGTTTCAAGGCAAATATCTTTAGAGATCATTTTTTAAACTAACATAAATTCTTTCACAACCACACGGAAAATATTTTTTATCTCGTAAGATAATTAAACCATTACCATTTAATTTACGATACAAAGCAGAATTCTTAATATTTCTATGATATACATGAACTTATGCTGATTAAATATGCATGAAATGAAATAATGTAATCAAATATCTACCGTTGCATCATTTTGGAACATAACGTACATATTGTAGTAGCGCAACCAAAATTCAGTAGATCGGCCAGAATTTAGGGTCAGAATAGGCCGGAGCTTGGCCGGCATTAAGCAATAATACTGGCTAACCTTACTAGCACTATACTATAGCAAAATTAGTAGCTGAACAATTTTACTCAATATATAGGCTGCCAGTTTATTAGTAAAAATTTAAAAAAAAATCATCAATTCCGGCCTATTCCGACTTTAAATTCAGGCCAATCTGCTGAATTTTGGTTGTGCTACTAATCTATTCATTTAATTTTGCCTCTTGTTGTGCTCTGGATTGAAAGGATTGAAAGAGAAGTAATTTGTAAGTGCAGATTAGCTTCGGACACAACATAGGTTGTACAGGAAAAATGTTTTAAAATAATAATTGGATATTAAAGAAAGTATATTTATTAAGAGAATTGCAATAGCACCAGGATGTAGGTTAGATTTTCTAAATGCGTGATATTCTACAGCAAATTATCCAATGAATAATCGCGATTTAGTGTAACATAACACGATCAGAAAATTCAAACCAAATATTCACTTTGTCAAAAAATCGCTTGTTTTTCAAAAAGCAGTATAAGAAACTACCTTAAGTATTTTAACAAAAAGTTTTTCTTGAGCGATTTTACTATTAAAAATTTTTTTTGGCATAAACCTAACCCTAATCTAAACAAATTTGAAAGAATTTTTCAATTTTTATATAATTAAAAAATAAATCCTACATCCTGGATTTGTGAAGAATTGCTATTGTCACTTTTTATTTTTGCTAATGTCACCTAAATTTAAAAAAGTGCTTTAAAAGAGGTATAGTAATTAAGTAAACTCTTCTTTTAATCTTAATAAGTTGTTTATCAGTTCTAATAATAGTAAAATTATTAAATGAATGTTATATTAATTATTTTTTTTCAAATTTTACTCCGCTTTAGCCTACTTCTATTTTTGGACAACAACCTTTTCTTATTGTAAATATTATAATAAACACCATTTGTTCACTTAGCAAACCAAAAGTTACTTTTATAGATTGTATCAAAATACTGAATTTTCATATGATTATTTAAACAATAGAAAAAAAAAATTCTACTATGTACCATATATATTACTTATTATATTGTTTTTCTTTTATCTGTTTTGATTTTTTTAAAAAAAGATCTTATTGAAGATATCATTACTTTCATATAATCTATTATACAGATTTAATACTTCTTCTCTGCACTCCAATCTACATATACTGTTTACTTCAAAAAATTAAATTTCTGATCAAATATTTATTATTATTATTATAATAATAAATCAATAATAATAAATAATAATAATAAATTATACAATAACTCTTTCTGATGATCACTTGAACCATATTTTCAAGCTGGCACTTGACATACTAGACAATAAGTTAGCATCTGTCGTTTAGAAGTAGTTTTCATACGCTACTTGCTGACAGACTTAGAGTTTATCACTCACTATATAGTCTTGGCACTTGTCATTTAGAGATAGTTCTCATATGCTACTTGCCAACAAGCTCAGAGTTTATTACTCACCGAAAAAAGGTTAAGCAGGTATTGGGCAGTGGATCTTGACTGTAGAAAAGAAAACTCATTCTCCTTTAAATTAGTTTGAAGCTCAAATAGTCCCTCTTTACCTCTTGTCGTTTTTTCCATCAGTCTTCAAAAATTTTTCATAAAAAGTGGGGATTTGGCTTACCCCCTTCAAAAGATCAGCATTGATGGACCAGTAGATAGCAACTATGTGTTTGGAGACGAATACATTGTATGGACTCTAGAATGAGTCCCAGTCAAAAAAAGGAATCTCTGGTGGCAGCACCAAGTGGCTTGAGACACGAGTACCCGAGTGATGACGCCTTTATGGAAAAGTCACATCCTTGTCGTTGTTGGCACCATATATAGAAAGTCAGATTCTAGTACTGCGGCAGTACTTGGTTTGAAATATGGACTAGGTTATTAAAAAGATTCGGAGATGGTTTGGAGGGAATTTTAAAGTTAAGTTTAGACTTACAACAGAGATATATAGATGTTGCATCTGGTATATAATTTTTAAATCACTTGGCACAGGTTATAATAGTGTATTCGGATCGCTTAATTTTTTCTTTTTTCTGCTTGTTTCATCTATTTTTATTTATATTAGAATCAGTTTAGATTTCTCTTTCCTTTTTTTCTATTTGTTTCATTTTCTCTTTTGTTTTTGTTTTCTTTTTTAGAACAATTTCTATTTTTTTCAGTTATGAG